CCCGCGCCGGCTCCGATGAGCCGCAGCGGGTGACACGGTAGGTCTCTGCTCGTTGTCACGCTGACACAGGCCAGGGGACATCCCATGAGCCGCTCAGCCGGCAGACGGGAGGCGGGAAGGGGGCAAAACTCCAGCGGCAGACTGCTGCAGCTGCTGAACGAAGGAAAAAACCCCAAAGCCCCCAGCCACACACAGAGCAACCAGCTCAGAACACAGCACCAGTACGTTCCTCAGGAACGGATCTCTCACTCCTGTGCACGAGCAGTGGATCAAAGACACCCTTGGCTTTGCCACCCACCTGCCCTTTCCTCTCGTGACACGAAACAAGCCAGGAGGAGCACAGACCATCTAGCCCCAAGCAGCCACCGACTCTCCAAGGCACTCTCGTTCCTCGGTGACAATAAAGCCTATGGGCCCCCCAGACTCTCTGCTGCATTCTGGGTTTCTCAGGCTGGATCTGTGCGTGGACTTTGCGGCCACCAGCTGGTGGCACGCATGGGGACACGCCTCGTGGCCGGCCGGCTCTCGGCTCCAGGCAATTCGTTCTCCCCCTCGCGACTGAAGGACTCCAGGCGAGCACTCCTGTGGGTCCGGCAGAGCAGCGTGCGTCCTCCCGCTCAGAAACCCAAGCGCGTTGTACCAGTGTTTTCAGGTACTTGCTGGGTCTGTTCAGCAGCGCTTTGAAATATCGGGGTTGAGAGCGGAAAAAAGAACCCCACACGGGAGTAATTTTGCATTTCCAAGCGCTTGTGGCCCTATGGATGAGGTAAAGAGCTGGGAGTTCAACGTCTGCGCAGGCAAATGCCACATCTGCAAATCTTGGTGAATAGGGAAAAAAAAAAAATCTAATCCTGTGTGTCATTAATTGCTAACAAAACAAAACCCAGCAAGACGCCCGTTTTCAGTGCCATCTTCCCAGCTCTCACGAGGGCTACAGCCACGCAGACGCCTTCCCCAAGACTTCTTCCCCCCGCAGTTTTAAAAGGGGTTACCTTGAATTCCGCCGATGACTCCAACGGGTCGGCCGGCCTGGAGACCAGCACTTGCTCCG